TCAACGAAAACTTTAAAACAAGATCATTCCACAACTACCAACTAACTCATGTACCAACTTTCTACCATAAGCTCGAATTATTAAGCTACCTGATGAACGACCCTTGAGAAAGGTCGAAACTATAGTCGTAGCTATCTCTCTAGAACTCACACCCTCACCCTCAAGATGCTATATTTAATATCTTCTTTGAAACTTGAAATCAATTCTATCACGATTCGAAGTTGATTATAGTATACATGAGCTGACAACAACAACCTCTTATCTATATATACTATCGAAATGTAATATTCTAGAAGATGACGTCATACAAAATGCCAGGAGAGTAGACAGTGGAAAGTACCGGAATACACTTGATCATTAAATAAGAATTAGGTAAAATATTTGCATTGTTTGTAAACTATAGATGTAATCTAGCAAGATGTTAGAACTAAATCTAAGAAAGACTCGCTCTGTATATTATTTGAGACACAACGCTATACTATATATTGGCTAAATAAAAGATTCAATATTTTCTATTTTATAGAATTCTAGAAGCTATGATCAGAACTTTTGGTATACCCTAAGTATTCAATGAATTTTCTTCTTAAAAAATAGCATTCCATGGACTTTGATCAGAGAAAATGGTGAGCAATGAAATATTTTCCATAAAAATAAGCAGTTTTTCTTAAAATTCACTCAGCTTTAATTCACCACCTGTAATTCTAATTTTTATTCTTATTATAACTCTACTCGTGACTTTGATTATATTATCTACAACAATCATCCTTTCAAGTTCACGAACAATCAAAATCTTAGGATTGACAAAGCCAGAAGAACAAGATACAATTTATCTATCGCCGCTGATCAGTCAGTCAACAGACCAAGTGGCTAAAACTATTCATCAAGCATTCGACATCGACAAAACTCCAATCCAGCAACACACAGCTACCAATATATATCTTGTTGCCGTAAATACTAGCATGTCAAGCACATGTGCATGTTGATAGGATATTGCCTGTTTCCTTTCCGTTAACTTTAGCCGCCATATTACTA